TATGTTAAATGTGCTCATTTGAAGACATGAAAGTGGTAACAGCGATCTCTGGGGTCTTGGGGGAACAGAGGGATTGAGGAGAAGCTTCCTTTGGGGGGTAATTAAATGTTCTGACATTGACTGTGGGGCTTGTCGAATAACTGATTAACCAAACAAATGTTCAGTGCAGTGAGCTGCACAGTAAGTAAACTACATGTCAATAAAGCTGAAGGCTTTGTTTGTTATTGGTGTGGGGAAGGTAAAAGGAGAAAAAACAAACAAACAAACAAACAAACAAACAAAAAACCTGCTGGAGGCTTTGGGCCACACAGGCAGCTTCTCAAAGCGGGGTGGCCTGAGTCTGGGCTAAAGAAAAGTGCCTTAGCCCTGAACAGCCTTCTGTATTGTGGCTCACAGATGGGGAGAGAGAGAGAGAGAGAGAGAGAGAGAGAGAGAGAGAGAGAGAGAGAGAGAGAGAGAGAGGTGTGAATACAGCCTGTGCTACTGCAGGGATTTTTTTTTTTTTTTTGAGACTGATGTAACAGGGTACCAGACCTTAGCACAACTGACTTTATGATATTAGTATCATTCATGCTGTCAAACTCCATACTTAGAGCAACCATCGGCCAAAACTAAAACAAAAGCCTAATCCATCAAAGTCCAGAGTTCTGGGAAAAATCTTTAAATGCACTAGCCTTGCTTTTTAGCTTCTGCTTTCTGGCTAACTGTTCTTGTTAACTGAAGTATTTCAACCCAGGACATGGTTTTTGTGCTTAGAAGCTGACCCTGAGAAAGGCCCAGGGCTACACTGGGATCCCAAACACCCAGTGTAGTCCCCAGCTAGCTTCTGTTATTGGCCTAAACCCATGTCCGAGCAGTCTTCTCTGGTGAACACCCCACAACAGTCCCCCAAAGCCAGGCTGGCTTCAAATGCACTAGGGAGCAGAGGCTACCCTTGAGCTCCCGATGCTCCTGCCTCCAATCCTGGGACTATAGGTGTGCCACACCATGCCAAGCTTTTCTCTTACTTTTTCTTTGCAGAAACTGGGTCAGAACACCAACACGCCTTTCTTCCTTTTACAAAGTTGGCGGGGGAGGGTCACTGGACTCCTCCTCGGGGTCTCTCCTTCTACCGCGTCCTTCTGGAGGTAGAACTCTGGTCATCAGGGCACACCTTACCGCCTGAGTCACCTCTCCAGCCCATCTCATCTTTCTTACTGTGGTTTTGACCCATGTCAGTCATAGGTCACCTCAGTCCACGTGCTCAGTAACTCGGGGGACACCAGCTGGGTGGCCCCTGCTTGGGCCTCCCCCTCAGCCGACTTTCCTCAGCTTGACTGTTCCCGCCTGAAAGGCCCCTGTGAAGTGAAGCTGTGATGTCAGGTGGCCTGTGACACCCATCTTCTGGACACACAGGTTCCTCCACTTTGTCACTCTGTCCTGCCCAGCCTGTCTCTGCTGGCCTGCTCCCACTCACCTCGGAAGCACCGGCTGCTCCCTCAGGCAGTCCTGACTGGAAGAGCTGGCCTCACTGTCTTTCTAGGACCCAGGTGCCATTTCCTTTCATGTTAGAACTACAAAGAGGAAAGCCAGGCGTGGTGAAACTGTGGTCTCAGAACTTGGAGGTGCAGACAGGAGGAACATGAGTTCAAGGCTAGCCTTGGCTACATGGAGGCCAGACTGGAGAGTGAGAAAGACAGAAAAGAAGCTCAGACAGTAGGAGGGAGGCTGGCCACGGCCTTTCGGGTGGAGATTTCTCTCTGTTGTAGCAGCTGGAGGGGCTGGGGCTGCCAGACCACTAAATCTTTATACTTTGATAAGAAAAAGAAATTATTTGCAGGGAGAGTGGGGGCTGGAGAGAGCAATGCCTGCTCTTCCAGAGGACCCAGGTTCAATTCCCAGCACCCACATGGTGGCTCACTATTGTGTGGAACTCCTGTTCCAGGGGATCCAACACCCTCACGCAGACACACTCACGCAGGCAAAACACCAATGTACATAAAATACAAATAAACTTTTAAAAATAAATTTTTGGGGGGTTGGCGAGATGGGATTCCATGAGTGAAGGTGCTTGGGGCTAAGCCTGAAGACCTGAGTTTGATCCCTGGAACCCACGTGGCTGTCCTCTGACCTCCACAGGATGCCATGGTGCACCTCCAACCCCCTACCTCCCGCCACACACCCACACGCCACACACCCACGCATGCACACACACACACACACACACACACACACACACACACACACACATATAAAGAGATGAATAAATGAAATTTAAAATACACTATAAAGAAACTATTTTCAAAATACAGGGAATTCGGCTCTGTGAGAATATGCCCCACTTCTGGCCACATCAGAAAATCTGGAACCCCACTGGTTGTCATGGAGACTGCCTCTCCTCAAATAAACTGAATCGTGAATGGTGATGTCATCTCCGATGACAACCAGGCAGGGTGTTAAGTGCTTTTGCGATCTCTTCATACAGGGTGAGGCAAACCCCCATCATAGGGTGGACCTCTGCAACCCCACTTTCCCTGGCATGAAGCGGTGTCTGGTCAGAGAAGCCCTGGATGGAAGCAACTATGAGGAGAGAAGTGTGGCTGGGCTTAAGAATTTGCTTTAAAAAAAAAAAAAAAAAAAAAAAAAAAAAGGAGGGGAGGCAGGGCACCAATGGGCTGGCTCAGCAGGTAAGGGCGCTTGCTGCCAAGCCTGATGGCCCAAGTTTGATCCCCAAGACTGTGGGGAGCAGAGGAAGCACTAAGGGAATAGAGCACTAAATGTGTGCTGTTGGCCTGGGAACCGCCATGTCAAGGACCCAATGCCTCAGCCTCACAGGAGATGCAAAGCCTTCTCTAGTCTGTTTGTGGATGTCACTAGTGTGTGCAAAAAATGTCCACCATGGCCTTCTCCCCCTGGCATTTCCAGCCTGAAGACTGCCTCCTTGCAGAGACACAATTAACCTAACTTGCCTCTCTGCCCCTCTGTATATAACAACATGCCTCCTGGTTTATCTGTATGTAATAACCCACCTCCTGGTTTATCTATCTGTATGTAATAACCTGTCTCCTAGTTTATCTGTATGTAATAACCCTGCCTCCTGATTTATCTATCTGTATGTAATAACCTGTCTCCTAGTTTATCTGTATGTAATAACCCTGCCTCCTGATTTATCTATCTGTATGTAATAACCTGTCTCCTGGTTTATCTGTATGTAATAACCCACCTCCTGGTTTATCTATCTGTATGTAATAACCTGTCTCCTGGTTTATCTGTATGTAATAACCCGCCTCCTGGTTCATCTGTATGCAATTACCCTGCCTCCTGGTTTATCTGTATGCAATTACCCTGGCTCCATGTTCAACTTTATATAACAAACACTCTGAGCTTCCAAGGTGCTGCTGTTTCTGCATCAGAAAGCCAGCCACCACCACCCTAGCCTCTTCTGTCTTTGAATGTCTGTCATTTCTTCATTCCCTTGATGCCCCTAGTTAGGGCTCCAAGGCCCAAGCTATTAAGGACATGGCATAGGACCTACATGACATAGGAGAGAACCGACCCCTGAGAGCTGTCCTCTGACCACATGCCCAGCCTGGCACTTGGGCACGTGCACATGGACACACACTCATTTAGGCAGGCACATATATGCTACGCACAATAAATAAATGTAATAAAAGTAATTTCAAGCTAGATGGTGGTGGCGCACGCCTTTAATCCCAGCACTTGGGAGGCAGAGGCAGGCGGATCTCTGTGAGTTTGAACCCAGCTTAGTTTAAAGAGTGAGTTCCAGAACAGCCAGGGCTACACAGAGAAACCCTGTCTCAGAAAACAAACAAACAAAAAAAGTAATTTCAAAAAGCGACAGGTCTCCAGTTGTATACACAGAGTGATCACACATAAAATACGAGATAATAAATGCACTTTTATAGCTACTAAGGATGCCTGCCAAATCCCTGAGATCAAGAGCAGCAGGGAAAACACTCAGACCCTCCGATGTCACTGCTGAGTCACCGGGAAATGCCGTGGGAAAGGGAATCCCCTCCCAGCAGTAAAAACCATAGGAACCTTAGAAATAAATCTAGTACAGGAGGCTGAGGCAGGAGAATCACCATGAGCTCCAGGCTAGCCTGGTCTACAGGGTGAGACAAAGTCAAAACAAAGCTCTTAAATCAATAAAGCTGATAAATGACACTGGGTGTCTTTATTGCAGGGCATAATGAGCACAGAGATGGGTTGTATTTATCAAGGGAAGGTATAGTTTTAGATGAAATCTCCTCTTTTCATGTTGGATTGAGGAAAGAGGTTGAGAATAACTGAGGCACAGTTTGAAGGAAAAAGGAGGAGGAGGGGAGAGGAAGGGAGGAGGAGGAGGAGGAGGAGGAGGAGGAGGGGAGAGGAAGGGAGGAGAAGGAGGCAGAGGAGGAGGAGGAGGAGGAGGAGGAGGGGAGAGGAAGGGAGGAGAAGGAGGAAGAGGAGGAGGAGGAGGAGGAGGAGGAGGAGGAGGAGGAGGAGGGAAGCAACTCCATGGGCAACAGACAGGCACATGGAGCACAGACATACATGCAGGCCAAACTCTCACACACATAAAAATAAAAATAAATACATCACTTTAAAAGATGTCTTGAAAATGCAGGCCATGTTGGCACATGTGTGAACGCGTGTGCGTGTGTGTGTGTATGCTTGAAATTCATGACTGGAGAGGCAGAGGCAGGAGGATTCCTGGTACTCCTTGGCCAGGCAGTCTAGGCTAATTGGTGAGTTCCAGGCCACTGAGAGACTAACTCAGTGGAGGAAGACAATGTTTCTGAGTGTAGCACCCAAGGCTGTTCTCTGGCCTCCACATGTGGGAGCAGACAGACAGACAGACTCTCTCTCTCTCTCTCTCTCTCTTTCTAGGGATTAGACTATACAGTCACTCAAGCGAATCCTCTAGCACGGCACGTAAGAGCCCATGACAGGCTCATCTTGAGCCTAGAAGGGCTTGCAGGCATTATGGGCATGCCAGACACAGCCAGCCTGCTCACTGCGGCACTGCTGACAACCGCAGGACTTGGGGAGTCCGTCAGCAAAGCAATGAGCAGGGGTCTGGCATCCATGGCACATGGGGTCTGGCGTCCATGGCACATGGGGACTGGGGTCCAGGCCCCCACTGAGCTTCCGATAACGGGTCAGCACCCTAATCACTCACTTGTCCTTCTGCACATAAAATGCTCTTCTTTCTTTACAAAATTTTGTTTTTGGTGCTTTGCTCGTTTTGTTTTAATACATGGTCTCTCTACATTGGCCAAGCTGGTCCTAGAACTCTACATAGATCTGCCTGCCTCTGCCTCCCATGTGCTAGGATTAAAGCTGGGTGCCATTATGCCCAGGCCCAGGATATTTTCTAGACCATCCTCTCACAGCATCAGGAGGTCTGTGTAAAAGCTCTCCTCCCCTCATTGTTAACCCTCAGTCACAGAGACAGCACCCACAGGAGCAGCACACACTGGCACACATCCACGGGAGCAGCGTCTGCGGGAACAGCATTCCACCACGGGAGCAGCGTCTGCGGGAACAGCATGCCACCACAGGAGCAGCGTCTGCAGGAACAGCATGCCACCACAGGAGCAGCGTCTGCAGGAACAGCATGCCACCACAGGAGCAGCGTCTGCAGGAACAGCATGCCACCACAGGAGCAGCGTCTGCAGGAACAGCATGCCACCATGGGAGCAGCGTCCAGGGGAGTCCACTCTACTCAGCAGTGACATGGTTTAAAGCATTAAAGTGCCCACTCTGGCCAGACTAGGTTCAGGTTGCACCTTCCCAAGCACTGTTTGTATTACTTCAGGCAAGCTGTCTAAGTGTCCTGTGACTCAGTTTCCTCCTTTGTGTCTTGAGAGATAATAGTTTTCACCTCAGCAGGGGTTGTGAGGTCTGGATGAGTTAATATGTTAACACTCAGAATGGAGTCTGGTACAAAGGACATTCTGCTTATCAGGAAATCACAGAGCTGAGCTGGATTGGTGGGCACGCCTGACCCCCGCTTACACCCTGCCTTGATCCCTCACAGAGACTTCTTCACTACCTCCTTCCATTCCCGGTGGCCTCAGGCTGGCTAAGCAGACTTCTTATTTCCCCAACTGAATAAACTGAATTGATTCTATAGTCTCGCCATAAACTCACTGGGATGATATCTTTCGAGAACATGCTATAAAGGCAGCAGGGACTGAGGCTGGCTTGTGGCTCACTGAATAGAGTGCTTGCCTAGCATGTGCAAAACCCTGGGTTCAATTCCCAGCACTACAAAATGGGCATGGTAATGCATGCCTGTAACCCCTGGGGGAGAAGGCAGGGATCAGCAGAAGTTAGGGTCATCCTCGGCTGCACAGAGTCCAAGGCCAGCCTGTGCTACGTAATACCCGGTCTAAAATAAACCAAAGGGAGGGGGGTATGGAGACCAGTTAAAAAAACAAACGGGGCCGCCTCCTCCCAGGGAGCACTGTCTCCAGGGCAGGGAGTCTGCAACGCTTGGAGAACCCAACTCTGACCCCAGGCCCCTTTCTGAAGGTCTGACATCCTCCTCCCTAGGTGGGAAGGCATTGAGAGTATACCCACAGGGGGCCCCGTGCCTAAGATCTTTGCTCTTCTCTTTGCCCCGGCTTGGGGAGGAAGAGAGTGGATGGGGACTGGCTGCAGATGGGTAAGACTTTTAACTCTATTTTCCCACTGTTTCTTACAAACTCTTAGAAAGAAAGAAGCGCCTTGTACACACGGGGCTTAGTGAGCTATGCCCTCAGAGCCCCTCCCCTCCCCTCCTGGGCAGAGGCCCAGGCAGCAGGGCACTGGGTGCTGCCTCCCCAGAAGTCTAATGCTGACACCAGCTGGTCTCATCAGCTCTACCTTCCAGCACATTCTAAACCCAGTCTCTCACCCTTACACTCATCCCCTACCTGGTTTCTATCTCCAACCCAAGCTGCCCAGCAGCTGGGGATGATTGAAATCCCCAGGCTAGATAGCTGGCAGTTTCCAGCATTTCCAGGCCCCAATCACCAAGCAGTTCACTCCTGTCAGCACAGTTGCTCCCTTGACAACCCCAGGTCAGGGCATCACGGTGATTACGTTGATGGAGGAAACAGAGGCGTAGGATGCTCAGCAACTGGCTATTTTCCTACAGAATGGAGCGCCAGGGCTAGGACTCACACATGTGAGCACCAAGTGGAGCTGGCCACTGAAGTCTCAGGTCACCTGACCGCTCAACCGCTGCCTCTGACCTCCCCTCACTGGGTTCACCTCAGATCCATCACCCCGACGCCCAGAAAGGTTTTTTCTCTCATGTCACTTTACTTTAGGCAACCCCCACTTGGACGCCACCTCCTCAGCATGGCCTCCCTGAACATCTTTTGAACACAGTCCCCTTTTTTCCTTTCACCCCCAGCCGGCTGCTTTGTTCACAGACCCCTGTCCCTTCCCATCACGACAGGAGAGACATCCCTATCTTTCCTTTGTAAAATGTCCTAGAAGTTCAGCTCCACAAGGGCCTGCATCTCAGCCTGGCACTGAGCAGACAGGGGCGGTCCAGCCAGTGCGCTACACTGGTGACCCTGTTGCTCATAGCAGCATAGCACTGAAGCCCCTGACAAAAGCAGGGCAGAGGTGAAACTGCATCCGGCTTCTGTCCCTGGCTTCTCCAGCCGCTCTTCAAACCTCAGGACTTTCATCTTTCTGGTGGGAATCCCTCCACACTAGGAAGATGAGAAGAACTGCCCTCCCCTGGGTGTTTGCGTTTTAAAACAAGCCTCACCCATGGCAGGACTGAGGGAGGAGAAGGAGGAATGTGTGTGTGAGAGTGTGTGCGCGTGTGAGTACGTGTATGTGTGTGTGAGTCTGTTTGAGAGTGTGAGTGTGAGTGTGAGTGTGTGAGTGTGTTCTGGCTTGGGGCACAGGGCAGCTCACAGGTGAGGGCACCCTGGAAGGTCTCTGCTCACCACTGGGTTCTCTGGTATGCCTCGAGGCCGACCACAATCTACTGAACATCTCATGTCCTATCTGATAGACCTGGCTTTGTCTCCCAAAGCCATTCCAAGGTCGGAAAGTTCTGTTCAGAGGAGTCCCTCCAGCAGCCCCCGTCAGAGGCCCCAGACTTACCCATTTCAATCCCACAGGTGACCAAGGCTGCGATCACTGCGCCAGCTGAAGTCCCTGCAAAGCGATGGGCTGTGTCCAGCATCCTCGGGGCCAGGTCTCGCAGAGCATCCACGACCCCAGCCTGGTAGTAGGAAAGGAACCCGCTCCCAGAGAAGGAGATGGAATGAGGGGTGTCTGGGTCCCCCTTGAACACCTGCTCTTCCATCTTCGGGTCCTCTGGCCTCCCAGAGGGGGAGGCACCCGCACTGGTCTGCCTTGGCTCAGTGTCTCCTTCCCTGCCAGCCGAGAACCTGGAATGAGGCGACTCCACTGGCCCAGCCAGGCACCCACGGGTGGTTCGCCTGGCCACTGCCTGGGCCTGTTTAGCTTGGCTATGAGGCACCCTGAAAGACTGATAAGGGACTCCGGGCCTGAGTAAAAGGTACAGGGCCCTCAGAGTTATGAACAGGGTCCTGGTCCTACAGACCCCATGCTGGCTTCAACGCCTAATTAACTCATGTCGGGCACAGGTTCCTCAGCTCTCTCCACCCATCCTGAGTGCAACAGGAGGGGTGCCTTCCCTGCTCCCTACGGAGGCGGAGGCGGTGCCTCTCAGCCCTCAGCATCCAGTTGCAAAATCTCTGCCAGGGCCTCGCCCTGTGCCTCTCTCACTGACAGGCTGCTGCCGAGACAGAGTTACAAGCCAAACCCCCCGGGGGCCCCTGTGTCCCCCTAAACCCCGACTTTCAAAGGGGAGGAGTAACTTCCACCTGTGCCCCACCCCCCTCCCCAGACTGGAAATATTCTTACATAAGCGCCTCTCTGTTTATACTTACGTTAGGATTGGCTCTGGGCAAAACTGTAGCAGAGGAGAAGTTTGGCTCTGGGGGTTTGCCCTAGTTTGCTTTCTATTGCTGTGATAACACCATGACCTAAAGCAACTGCGGCTGGCGAGGGGCGGGGGGCGTATTTCAGTTTCCAGCTTATGGAGCATTGTGAAGGAAAGTCATCGCGTCTGACTGAAACAGACAGCGTGGAGAGCTGCTGACTGGCTTGCTTCCTATGTAACCCATGACCAAGCTCCCAGGGGTGGGACTCTGCACAGTGGGCTGGGCTCCCTCTTCCCCACGTGTGTCAAGTTGAGGAAATACAAAGCAGCCATGTAGGTGCTGGGACCTGAATCCGGGTCCTCCCGGAGAGCATCAAGCACTGAGCCATCTCTCCAGTCAGTGTGTCCTCTCTTAAGTGTATAGGAAGTGTAAGAACAATACACCTGGATGACCCTGACCCTGACCCCGCCCCCTAACAACGGGGCGCTCACCCGCCATGCATTGCAACCTGTGAGGTGCAAAACCCCAGTGTGCATACCAACCTCCCCTTTAAAAGGTCCTGCCGCCCATCCCTCTCTCTCTTCCTTTTGGCTCCTCTTGGGTTGGCTGACTACCCATCCCCCTCTCCCCCCTTTTCTGGTAAATAAACTCCACGTGGGTTGTTTATCCATTGTTCCTTTCTTTATATCAGCAGCTGCAGCTTAAACAAAAGAATAACAGGAAGGAGGGGAGCAGAAAGCTGGGTCATCCCAAGATGATCACATAGATAAGCAGGTTGGGGGGGGGTCATGGGGTCCACCATGGACAGAGAGATGGTGTGAGAGGTGGGCAGGAGGCTGGAAATGGCTGCTTAGTATTTTGTCAACTTGACACCCAGTGTCTGAGGGTTAGCCTCCATCAGATTGGCCTGTGAGCAAGTCCTTGGGGCATTTTCTTGGTTAATGATTGATGTGAGAGGGGCTTGGGGGCCAGGATTAGCTCTAGGGCTACCCAGCCTGTCTCCTGGGAAGGGGCAATTTTCCTCACAGCCCCAAAATGGCGCTGCAGATCACTAAGGCAACAAAAGCTTCCCCTACTCCCCTTCTCCCTCCTCCCTCATCCTCCTCCTCATCTCCCCTCCTCCTCATCTCCATCCTCCCCATCCTCCTCCTCATCTCCCTCCTCCCCATCCTCCTCATCTCCCTCCTCCCCCAGCCTCCTCCTCATCTCCCTCCTCCCCACTCCCCCTCATC